TATTTGATAGACGTATACATTAGAAATGAGAGAATGTTTTATAGTAAAAGTATAAAATAATATAGTTCATTTTTGAAAGTCGATTGATCGTCAAACTGTTTCCTCTCTTTTCATCGTCGTATTTGTTCGATCGAATAAAATATTATTATTTAAGTGTGTTATTTCTAATTTTCGTTAAAAAGTAACTTATTATTAAGGTTTTTTCTAAATTTTCTATTACTGCTGTTGTGGCTACTCTTTGGGCCATTTGGAATACCAGAAATGCAAAGGTGTTCAAAGGAGTGAATCCTCATATCGGGACTACTGCTAGGAAAGCTTTCAGCTACTTCTCTGATTGGAGCGGGCTTCATCATCACCCACCGAGTGACCCTCTTTCCACTCCCCTTCCCCAGCCCCCCTCACATCGTACAATCATTGATCCACCGCCAGGAAATCCCTAGTTGGTAATCCACTGTGATGGAGCTTTTGTCTCAGAATCACAGACGGCGGCATATGGTTTTGTTGTTCGTAACATCCATGGACAAGTGGTTGACGGTAAGGCTGGGACTCTGTTTTGTTCATCAGCGATTGTGGCGGAAACCAAGGCACTCCTCTCGGCAATCAAGCATGCACAATCATCAGGAGCGTCGACTTGTATTCTCTCTTACTGTCAAGTCCTTGTTCATGCTGTCAACGGCTACTCAAATACGTGGCCATGGCAAGTGAGAGCTTGGATTCATTGCATTCGACATATCCTTGGGACAAACGATCAGATTCGGGTTGCTTTTACACCTCGAAATTGTAACAAGAGTGCATATTGGGTTGCCAAAGAGGCTGAGAAAGGAACTCTTCCTCATGATTGGATCTTGATCCTTGACTTGATTGCGCCTTTATTGTAATGTTCCTGGCTTGTATCGCAATCGTTTTATGAATGAAATAAAGCTTGTTTGTCAAAAAAACAAAACTTATTATTAAGGTTTAGTATAAATGAGCAGAAAATTGACTTAAAGATGTAATAATGATATATTTTTGGTTTAAAAAAATGTGATATATGCAAAAGCAAAAAGAAATTATTGAATAAAAAAAAATTATTATAAGAAGAGAGATAGCTCCATATATAATTAATTTGATCATTAACTCAATTTTTTGTTTAAAAAGTATTGTCCACCTTGGCAACTTGTGAGTTCTCCAAATGCTTATGTGGCAATAAGTAACTTTGAACAACCATAATATATAGTAAGATAAGAGAAGAGAAGATGCAACCGTCGGGTTCATATCATAATAACCGTGGTCTAATAGTAAACAATCGGATTATTATTGTATTTGTTTGGTTTGAATCGGTAGAAATAGTAATTTAATATGTTTCTTCAATATTAAAAAGAATTATGTCTCTTTGCTATTGCGCTTGAACCCCTTTCTGGAATGCTTGATAGTGTTGCACAGACAAAGCAGATTCCATGCCATCCTCAGTGTAGATCAATAGACCTCACTCATCTGTGTTTTGATGATGATCTATTGATCTTCACCGAGGGATCTGCAGTAGCATTACTTTTAAGGTTCAAGAGATTTTGAACAAATTCAGCTCTTTGCCGGGCCTGAGTTGTAATCCAAAGAAGTGTGAGGTATTTTTTGGGGGAACAGCTACTCAATTTTTTAAAAAATGCACTCTCTATGTCTGGTTTTGCGGAAGGGAAATTACTTGTTCGTTACCTGGGTCTCCCATTAGTTTCGGGACAGCTAACAAGCAGAGAATGTGAAGTGCTGGTGGATAAGATCACGGCTAGAATAAGATCATGGCATGCTAATAAACTCTCATATGCAGGCAAACTCCAACTCATATCATATGTACTCTATTCTTTGGTTCAATTCTGGATGAATATCTTTATTTTGCCAAGGAAGGTCTTAGATAAGATTCATAAAATCTGCTCAGATTTTCTATGGTTTGGTGAGGAAACTGGCCGAGCGAAAGTGGCCTGGGATTCCGTTGCAGTTCCAAAGAAAGAAGGAGGAATGGGACTAAGGGATTTAGGCAGTTGGAATGTGGCGTGTGTTGCAATACTGTTATGGCTTCTACTGATGCAAAGTGGGAGTTTCTGGGTGGCGTGGATTCAGCGATACATGCTGAGGTGGAGATCAATTTGGGACCTATCTTCTTCTCAGACAGGGTCGTGGATTTGGCGAAAGCTATTAGCTATTCGTGGCTGGTTCCAGTTCCGGTTTGCTACTAATGCAGCAGGAGAGGTGACTTGGGAAGGAAAGGTGATGACACGATTCTCTATCCAGCAGGTATGGAACTCTATACGACCCAAACACCTGAAAGTTGAATGGTGGCAAGTGATTTGGAATAAGTTTGTGATTCCAAAGAATAGAGTTCTTGCGTGGTTGATAATTCTGAATAGAATCAATACCTTGGATAAGTTGAGGCAATGGGGGAAAGTGACTAATGCGATGTGTGTGTTATGTGATAGTGAGGAGGAAAACAGACTGCATCTTTTCTGCAAGTGTCCTTTTTCTTTGCAGATTTTTACAGTCATTTTCGGCTTGCGTCTCTGGCCAAGCTCGTGGGAGAGTTTATTGCATTGGATATGCAGAACAACTAAGAAAGGAGCTAAAGGGCTGGTGCAGGGTGCGATGTGGTGCTGGTGTCTCAGCATCATTTGGAAGGAGCGTTGCACTCGTATATATCAAGGCAGCAAAAGAGAGTATAGATTACTACTACAATAGTTAGTCGACGATTTTAATTACTGTGATATGGGAAACGTTGCTTTCCTTACAGAAGTTTGATCAATTCCTCAATTCAGCTGTCTATTAACATTTTGATAGCTAGCTTAGTTGATTCTAGTTTACTATTGTAAATGGATCAGTGGAGCAAGTCTGTTGCTCCTGAGTTTTTGCGAATCCTGGATCTTCCAGGTGGTGCTTAATGAAAGGGTCGATAATTACCGAAAAAAAAAGAATTATGCGATCAAATATCGAAGCGTATTATATTGGGCCCCATATAGCCACATCCAAATGTCGGTTTAATTAGCCATTTAAATGATTCGTTGAATATGTGTACATTAAGGAAGGAACTATATATGATTCGTTGAAACCAAGAATCATGTTTTTGTTTAAGGAAGGAACTATATATGATTCGTTGAATATGTGTACATTAGATCCGTTTTGTACGAAGAAATAAACTATAGATGGTAATATGGTCCTTCGTTGTACTTGATGTGTCCTCATTTGATACCGCACTTTGATTTGTATGTAGTTTGAATTCGGTTTAGCAACATCAAGATGAGATTTCCTTAGGAGTTCTTAAATTCCAACGCCGATTCTAGTTGATGAGTTGCATACTGGAATTAATGTCAATATAATCTCTGCTAAAAAGATATCCTAAATTAGTGGTAATATAGTAAACTTTAGTGTTTCTTACGATGTAAGACCGTGCTTCTCAGTGGTATGAAATAGTCGATAATTAGTTGTAATATAGGAGGGAAAAGTCGAACCTTGTTTTTGTTGGCATTGGTTTTCGATGATTTTGCCTTGATAAGTGTGTCAATCACTACTTGTTGCAAACTTCCACGATTGACTTGGTCATCCATGCCATGGTAAAAAAAACGGATAGTCAACATCATTGTGTCTGTGAAACCACGACATGCATGGTAGTTGACACCAAGAGAACATATATTGACCATCCCAGCCCTACCATGGTGATTGACATCAACATGCCATGGCACTCGGGTATTTCTCGCTATTGACCTATAATCATCGACAATTTCGTCTTAACTATTTGCATACCAAAAATTCAAATTTTATCATTGTAGGTGACAACCTCATTCTACTATAGTAGTTGTCACAAAATGGTCGACTACTCAGCATCATCATCATTCTATCATAGTTGTCACATCATCACGCCACGAGCAGAAGTTAGCAAGCGGTTGATTTCCCAACAATTCCATCATGTCATGGATAACAACTCGACCACCCCAATGCCACCATGCTGGTCGAACTCGTGGTCACCATATCTAACCTGGATAGTTCTCATACATTTCACAACGTTTACGAGACTTGCAAGTACCAGTATCATAGGATACGGAAAAAATCCATTCAACCGTACGGCATGTTTTTCTGGTCGTTTTTTTTTTTTCCTTTTATCAGAACTTTCATAAAATTTCTTATACATTTTGATGTCGATAGCGTGTATTTACGCCCGGACTTTCCCAACAAGAGGTGGTAAATGAGAAACGAACATGTATCGCAGCTCAACAAAAAGAAAATCAGTCCAAAAATGGCTCTATCAACTGAACTGTGCTCTTCTTTAGTAAAAGAAACTCACCAGCATAAATTTCTACCATTATTTGTTTCCCTCCTCACATCACAACCCATCTCTTAGTGTAAACAGAAAATCACCATTTTTAACCTTTAGCAGCAATGGCTGAGCTGTTACTCATCAAAGAACAGAACAGCTCACGAATTTTAATGATGAAATGACTACAGGGAAAAACAATGGAATAATTAGTGTTTTTGACCAAAATTTGTTTCTTTGATTCACCCTAAATCCCCCACGTCATTCGCTAATTTAGTTTTGGGTCACAAAAAAAAAAACCGCGTTGTTTGTCTACTCGTTTATTTTTATCCCAAACGGATAATTAATTGGATAATTTCAATGCATCCCCTGTAATTTTTTTTTTAAATAATTAATTCAATCCTCCACGGCTCCACCCTCATTCCCAGTTTAAAAAGAGGCAGCCATTTGCAGCTCACAGTTTTTTACCCAATCATCCGACACCCTTCTCCGGAGACCAGAGCAGTGAACAGCGATTGATTTCAATTTCCCGCCGGCGGCAAAAAGTCCGAGTCTTTGCTCAGTTAAACAAGTCAAGTCCTAAGATTTTTTCTAGGGTTTCTTCACTTTACCTTTCCTCATTCTAATTGCTCGTTGAAATTCTGGGTTAGGCTGTCAAGATCAGTCCTAATTTACTAATTTTCCTTTTCCCCTTCAATTTTCCCATTCTCTGTAAATTTTCCCGTCAAACAAACAGACAAACAGCCTAGCTGAAATCCCCTTCTCAAACAAGAGGGCGATCCGCGACAAAAAGCTTCTTCTCTGCTCCTTTCTTCTTTAAACAATTCTTCATTTTTGGGTGCGGGGTCTCTCTGCGCATTTGTATACGCGTCTCGCCTACAAATACCCATTCCTCTACCTTCTGCCACCTCTCCTCTGGTTCTGCCTGCTTCGCTCTTCATTTCATAGACTGTCGATTCCGTGTTTCCTTTCCGTGGATTAATTGGGAAAGCCCTCTCCTGGAATCGAAGTTTCTAGGTTTCCCTCTGTGTTCTTCTTTCTCTGGGCCGTGATGGGTGCTAACATCTCTTCGATCTTCATGGATCCGGCGACGGCTCGCTCTCTGTTCGGCGCTTTCGCGGTTCCAATCCAACAGCCGCCGCGGAGACCGACTCTGGGAGACTTGCCGGAGAGCTGCGTGGCGCCGATTCTCGCTAATTTGGATCCCGTCGAGATTTGCAAGCTGGCGACGCTCAACAGGGCGTGTCGCGGCGCGTCTTGGGCTGATTTCGTCTGGGAGTCCAAGTTGCCGGAGAATTATCGGGCCCTTATGGAGAGAGTGTTGGGCGTTGAAGACGCTGATGGGAAGAGGATTAGCAAGAGAGAGATTTACACCAGACTTTGCGCTGCCAATACTATTGATGATGGCTCTAAGGTTTGTTCCTTCCTTCTTCTTTTACTTCTTTCTGGGAAGATTTTCATCCAGCAGTTCAATAGGAATCGAAAAGTCTCGAGCTTACTGGGGTTTGGGTTTTCATTTTCCCTGGGCTGACAAGAGTGGTAGGGGATAAAAGCTGAAATCTAGGTCATCAATTTGTTTAGTTGCAATTGGTTTACTGATAGTTGGGTTATCAAAAATAGCTCATCAATTTGTGCATTTGCAATTGGTTTACTGATTAGCTTGAACCTTGTACCATGTTTGTGCAGAAAGTGTGGCTTGATAAGACGACTGGCGGTGTCTGTCTATCTCTTGCATCCAAGGGCTTAATGATAACTGGCATCGATGATCGACGATACTGGAACCACATTCCAACCGAGGAATCAAGGTGAGGGCTTCAGTCAATTTGGAACCTTGTATGAAGTTTCAATAGAATTAATGGACTCCTAGTTAATCGGATTGTGCTGCAGCTAATCCAAGCTTCCCTTCTTCTGCAGATTCTCCTCTGTTGCCTATCTTCAGCAGATATGGTGGTTTGAGGTTGGTGGAGAGTTCGAGTTCCCATTCCCAGCAGGCACCTACAGTCTGTTCTTCAGGCTACAGCTGGGTCGAACTGCTAAGAGGTTTGGTCGGAGGATCTGCAACACTGAGCATGTCCATGGTTGGGACAAAAAACCAGTTCGGTTTGAACTGACTTCCAACGGTCAGTATGCATCTTCACAGCGGTTCTTGAATGATACCGGGAAGTGGAACTTGTACCATGCTGGTGATTTTGTCGTCCACAAAGATAACGATGCTTCAATGACGAAGCTTAAGTTCTCGATGACACAGATCGATTGTACACACACAAAGGGAGGTCTGTGTTTGGACACTGTACTTGTATTGCCTAGTAAATTTAGAGAAAGGTTGAAGCATTTTTGAGGCGGATTCATACCTTTTGATAATAGTAGCAGCGAGAGAAGACTCGCTAAAAAAAAAAAGCAGCGAGAGAAGATCGTTTTAGGAGAAGAAATAGCTCATCATCTCTTGTGTCATATATGTGTTCAAGTAGAGCAATGTGTATATTCCGGTTTTGTATTCTTTGTCAGTTTATCGGTCGCATACAATGTAATTCTTTCAGTTCCTTTTATTACTGGAGAAAAGAACTTCCATTTCTGAAGATCTAACTGTTGTGATGCTATTGATTTACAGTTTTGTGCACCAAATAAGAACCATGTACAACAGCATTCTATTCTTCCACATCTAAGTTAGTACTTCTGCGGAAAAGGTTCCTAAAATATTCTTAATCAGATCAAACTATTTGAAGCATTTTTTCATAAAACTTTCAGAGTATACCTTCACTGGAGTTCCTACTAAGCAAAAAGGGCAGGACAGCGCTATGCTTTATCACTTCCAGCCAAAGCTCATGGAGTCCCCAAAAACACCATTAGACGTTCCATTCTCGAGCAACTTCCGGAACAAGTCATGTTCATTGGATGGACCAAACCTTTCAAGAGAATTTCTTCCTTTGTTGCTGCTGATGAAATCTGGATCTGCATAACCACTGGAAGATTCCCAAATGTTTCGCGTCTTCCCCAGGAAACCAGCAAGTATACTTCCTCCTGAAGTGGCAGCCGTTGAAGCGCAAACATCAGAAGACAGCCTATTTCTTGAACAAGAAGCATCCATGTTATTGGAAATTGTTGGCAAACCAGCAAGCATGTCATCGATGGTATGGTTTACTACTTCCCTCTCACTCCAACCAAGGGTTTGGCTCTTAGTGCTTGTTCCTTGAAGTAGCTTCATAATATGCTCGTGTACTAGGCTGCTTTCAGTTGGAGGAGAACCTCGGAGTGGTTTGGGGTATGGGCCTTGATTGAACTGTTTGTATATGTAAGAGGGTTCCCCGGGTCTGCCCATAGCTGAGTTGGATGCCTGACTTAGTAATTTACCGTAGCTTCCATAATCGGACAAAGCTTCCTGGTCAGAGTTTGTAAAGGCTCCACCTTTACCCTTATTCATGGTCCCTTGGCAATGAGAAGTTGACAATTGCTGACTTGTCTCCTTTGCTAGCGAGTCAGATTCCTCTTGGGTTTGCACCTGAGTGTGCGAGAACTTCTTGGTATAACTCTTCAAGCTCTCTGAAACATGAGGATTATCATACAAGCTTTCTTACACATCTATATGGACGCTCACTGAGAGTACATATCATTACTTACCGATAGCTCCAGTTTTGTTCTGCCAACTGAAGGTCATCAAGTCTTTCATACTGTTGACAATTTCAGCGATCTGGCAATGACAATAATAAGGGTGGAGGGTTTAAGACGTTACTCATCAACTGAGTCTGATAGCAGTTTAGCAAATACACTGTTTACACTGCACCTGCAAGCAACGAATGTATCGCTTTGGAAAGCCCATGTCACCGGCAAGCTGCAATTCCAAGTTTTTCTCGAGGCTGCATCCAGCTGCCAACAACCTGCACCAATGCTAACAGCATGACCAATCCAGTTTTATTCCAATATTGATCCAAACAGTCACTCAAGTGTGACCGGAGCCACTATAGATAATCCCGTGATAATGTCAATGCCTTTCTCCAGGATCCATATTCAAGGTAGAAAAGTATGTGAAGAACATTCAAAGATGTTAACACCATTTGTAATTTGCAGCTGATATATAATCTTCTGCAGGTATATGGTGGCCTAATTTACAACCAGTTGTTGAATGAATGGTGGACCTTAGGAATTTCTTACGTGTGGCAAGTTTCTTGAAAATCAGGCAATGTCTTTCCTGGTCCACTACCATCAATTGCTGTCTGATATTCTTGCGCAGTTCGGAGGAAATCATTAACCTGAAAACGGGATGAGTGCCTCGTGTGCTCATAATCTCTAACTGCTAAGCATAAACCGTACCAGAATCTACAGGTGACCAGCCTGCTAGATATAAACCAAAGCAAAACCTCTTGAGTACCTGAGATGTGACCAAACTCCGTGGCAGAAGTTCTTCATGGTCTTTTGAACAAAACTCCCAGCATGATATCTGGCAAAGGAGGAGAAAGAAATGGCAACAGTTAAGTTGACATTCTTCATGGATACAATTCATCACCCCAATAAACCTAACAAAACTCACTGAAGTTCTCAAAGTGAGTTTTTCACCTTCAAATTAGGAGTAAAGACGATCCGCAATTTACCCTCGCGAACAATATGGAATTGGTTATAGACAGTCTCGTGCACAGCCTTTCCATATTCAAGAACCATTGATCCAGAAGGAAGCCTACACTCTCGAGGCATTTCAAGAAACAGAAGTTCATCTGTAATCCCAGTCTCAAACTGTATTTTGTTAAGTCTAGGGAGCACTTCAAAAGTGGCCTCTGCCAAAAGAAGAAAAACAGGACAGAAGTTTCATTATTGAGCTTACTTCTGATAATTAAGGCATTATTAACGGCCTAACAGAGCAGGTGCCAATTTGTTATTTTGCTTACCGAAACCTCTCCCAGATGTAGAACCACATAACTCACAGCACCATGCATCCTGGCAAACACAAAACAAGTCACCAAACTCAGTGCTTCACTCATTAGACAGCACCCTCTCCAAATTCCATCACATTCCTAGTGACTTATTCCCATATTAGGCAACTTAAGAGGCAAATCTTAATATATGCAAATTGGATATACTTGTTGGCTAAATTTATTTTATGCAATTGACTTTGCAGATTTAATATCCAATGTGACACAATTCTAGAGAAAGGGGTTCCACAAATCTTCTTTTGCCACTTTTCTGACACTGAATTTATATTACTAACGTACTCAGCATACAATGTATGTGCGAACAAAAATCTACAAAATAGCATGCATTTGAGATAATTACAACCACTTGCAAACTGAAAACACCAAATATCTTTCAGGATTGTCTAGATACGGTAAAAAACCATCAACCATGGCGGCGCAGAGTCAGTTAATCTAACCATAGCTGCCTGGGGGAAGACTCCAACAGCATGACGTCCAACACTATCACAAGAAGACAAACACCACCTTTTCTTGGCACAAGGAGCATAATATTCTGCCACAAACTTCCTCCAATATGATATATCATTGCTCTGAAAACACAGACACAGGCATAAAATGTGGGAAAGATGAATGCTAGTCGTGAGAAGCAATCCATGCATCAAGACTTGAAACAACTGAAAGTACTTGGTTTAAGAAATTAGCAAATCTCACTGGTGGCCTGCGCTGAAGATGATACATATACTGTGTTAGCCGGCGAGAGCATACATTGGCGTTGAACAGCTGAGCAGGTGGATGTGATTGTGTACGTCTGACTGCGAGCTGTTGAAGGTATTCCTTTACTTGTTTCTGCTGCTGTTGCTTTAAGTCAACTCCTTCATGTAGTTCTTGCGTTGGCTGAAAAGTTCTCCGCTGCCTGTGAGGTAAAGTCTCTACGAGGGGACTATGATGACCTTGTGACTGCAAAGAAACCGGATTCTGCAGTAACAGCTGCTGCATAGCTTGCTGTTGTAGTAGAGCAGTGTCTTGTCTAGGTCCGGTTTTGTTTCTTCTGTGTGCCTGACTTTGATTATGGAGCTGCTCCCTTTTGTTGGGGTCAATGGTTGACTTCTTCTTTTTCGGTAATCTAGGCTGAGATGTGCCACTTTGCTGTTGTTTTCTTTTAGATGGTTGTGCTCGGTTCTGGGTCAAATGTGACTCTTGCTGCACAATGGAGGAGTCACTGGTGGTGGAAGAACCTGAAACGCTTCAAAGAATATGGCATGAACAAATGGATTATTGCATGGACCATTTGATATTTTCACTTTCTCAAACGCACCAGGAATGTCGCCACATGACGACGAATTGAGGAAGGAAGCCACTGCATCTTGGAAATGCCCTTCTTTCTGCAGCGTGTTCCCAGAATTCATAGACTGCATCAAATCTCCCGTGGCCTGCGCTGATGCCATGCAACGCATTGCGAAGAGATAATTGGAGTCCAAAAATGCCTCTGATGCCATCTCTCTTTTACTGAATTATGCAGAATGAAAGTCATTTAAGACCATTTAAGCAAAGAGAAAAAGGTCCCAAATCCAAATGTCCAACTGCACTAGCACAGAGCAAAGACATGTAAACCAATTTCCATAACCAAAAAGCCAAGAAAATGCCTACAGAAGCACACAAAGAGGAATCAAACATTTCATTCTTAATACATTTTTTCCAAGTAATAACAAGATAGAAAAATCAGACATAAACTTCTACCCATGAACCCTCCCAAAGAGACACCTTAGTACTGTGCAAGGATCCAGCTATGATCTTAGCAAGCAACAACAGTATTCCTTCGAGAGCCACTGCACTACAAATCACTTATCTTAGGAACAGTAAGAATCTAAAAGGCCCCTAAAACCAACACACAGAAACCCAAATGCACTACATATTCAAGATACAATGAGCATTGAAGGATCGACATCAAACAAACCCACACGGAGAATTCATAATTTGACAACCTAAGATTAGCATACGCTCATACAAGATAAAACAACCTTTAAATTTTAATGACGTGAAAACAGGTAAGGGGTAACTCAAAGCCAAAAAGTTTTCCGGCCAGAAACCATAATAGGAACTATAAACTGCTCATAGAAGCTTTAAACCTCCTCCAATCCGCCGACCATTCTCGAGTGCAGAATCACAACACCACCACCTAGACTCTATCACCTTCCTGAAACCAACAGAAGCCGACATTTCACGGAAGAAGAATGCCCCACCTGAACCCCTTCTGGAAATAAAAAGGCAAAGAGAAGCCAAGTTGGGTTTTTTTTTTTTTTTTCCCACACACTAAAGCAGTCACCACCCTTCAGTAAGCTGGAACGCTCCAAATTTCAAAAACCTTGAGCTTTATTTCCTTTAGCTCGCTTTGCTTGTTTTTCTCGACAAACCCAAATGCCCATTCCCCATGGATAACACATAACAGGGCATAGAATCAAGTTTGTGGGTCTCTTCGATGTTTATAGCAACCGAGGAAACTATTGAGCAGTAAAGTAAAAGCCGCGAAAGGAAAAGGGGAGGAAAAAAAAAAAAAAAAAAAAAAAAAGGAGCCAAATTTTGAAGAAAGTGGCGCATAGACACAGAGAATGAGATTCTTTACCAGATACCCAATGGCCAATACTTTGATTCTTGTACAGCCTCTTCCCTTTCTCTACCACATATTGCTCTTGTACGGAACAGCAATGGCAGCAAAGCAAAGCACTAGTAGTGAGACTGTGAGTGAGTTAGGAGGAAAAGGAAGAAATTTAAGTAAAGAGTTTCGCGTTTCTATTTTAAATTTTTTTTCTTTTGTCCCATTCCTCGAGGTGTCGTCCATTTGGGAGAGCGGGAAAGAGTGACAGAGCTAGCGAGGGAAATGAAAGAGTAGGCTGGTGGTGACCGGCTGGTCCCGGTTGACTTACTCCCTAGGTGACCGGCTCACTGCAACGAAAAGGACAGCAGGGACACGTGTCGTGCTAGGACAAGCCACGTATTTCTGTTCAGATTTGGAGAACTGGATATTTAATATTTTGCGTCTTCTACTACCTTTCTTTGCGTTCTCGCCCCTGGATTTCCCAGTTATTTACACAAACGCCACTGCCCGGGCCGAAGCTTCGGCCTTTTCCGATGGGCTGTCTGCTGTTATTATAGTGTTACTTATTGCAACATCATCGGATCAACCAAAAGAATGGGATGGATGTTCTTTCGACAAAGTCTTTAACATGAAAGAAACTTCCAACCAACGAGATAGTATCAAAATGGTACGTCTAATCTCGTCACATTCGCGGCCAGAAATTTCAACAAGAAATCCACGTCATTAGATCACATAGACAGTTTAATCGAGCCTACTGACACGTACGCAATACAACATATATAAAGGGTATAAAGAGGGTTTCCTTCTTCCTGGAGATTGAATCCGAATCAGCTTCATTGCTCTCATTCGCCTGTTGAGGATGGTCTTCGGTATGGCATGAACCTGTGGTCCTTCGAAGCATTCTTCTTTCTCCGTTTCTCGATGAAAGATTCAAGCTTTCCGGTTGCCTGTAGTCAATTTATGATGTTTCATCGGTTCGAGAAAAAAACTGGCAGTAACCGAGTTTGGAAGGTTACGCACGTGGTTTCCCTAGGAATCAATGACGAGTTAAAGCATACCTTGAGTTTGTTATACTTGTCGACGAGCCTTTGTTTCTTAATTTCAGCTGCAAAAGACACATAATTTAAGGTTATTGAATGCTTGGGAGTCTGACTATTTCTTGGGTTGAAAACTGTGAGGGAGAAAGGGATTTACATTTCTTGAGATAAAACGGTTGTTTGCCTTGCTTTGCAGCCTCCCTCTCTTTCTTCTTGTGTTCGGTGAGAATCGATGATTCCACTTGTTTTGTCGTGTCAAACTTTAGCTGCTTGTCCTGACAAGGGCAGAAACTAGGTAAGCAAAAGAGCTAAACACATGAGATACAAGAGAAATTCATACTTAGTTAGCAGGTTTCTTACAATCCAAGCTACTCGATTCTTTAATTGATCGACGACTACCGGGTCTTTGGATTTCCTTAGCTGCTTCTTTAGTTCCTGTATCAATAAAAAAGAAGTGAATAGAACATATTAAGGAACAGAACACCAAGTGAGGAGTCCAACATGTTAGCTTTAATGAATCTAAGGAAGTCACCTCTTTTTCAGCTGGAAGATTGCTCTCGTAGAGGAAATCATACCTTTTCCTATAGCTATAGAGAGCACAAATTATTAATCAGAAAGTCTTTCCATGAAGTTCAAGTTCTAACAACATTGGTCATGTCAAGTGCTACTCTCTATTTAGGATGGCCTAGGAAAACACAGAACAATAAACAGCAGTGATCACATAATTAACTAGAGAACACAATCACATGGAAATACACTTACCCTTCCACATTAAGCGTACCACACAACGACTCAAAGCGAGGATCACGTACCACCTACAACATATCAAGCCCATCATCAACAGACACAAGCTTTGGATTCACTAAAAGGAAACACTCAGAGAAGAGATTTACAAACATTAATAAACAACCGGAAGATTACAAAACTATCACCGCTGAACAGGAATTACACATCAAGCAACTTGTCATAACGTCCTCAAGCTTCCAACAGTACAGTCAGTGCTACTCGGGCATAACCTGAGTAAATGCAAAATCGAAGTGCTATGTCCCAGCAGTACAAGAGGGATGCTAATTAACCAAGTCGAAGCTCATGCTACGCCTCAACATTGAAAAGTAGAGCATCAAAATCAGAGCCGCACTAACTAACAGCTACTACAGTCTACAAGGTGCTCAAAGGATCCTCTATGTGACAAATTAAGCATGGTTTTGAACCAAAAGGTAAAGGCTAAAGTAATGAAATGAAGAAAGTTGGTTGCAATACCTTCTTAGGAGCTTGAATAACCTCTCGAAACCTACTAACTGGCTTTTTGCAAGTGACCTCTACCGGCCTGAAAAAATGCACGGGGAAACACAGAAGCAAAGGGCAATTACAATCACCAAAAAACCAATACGAGGAGAGCTAAAGCATATGCAGAAATGATACTGAATCAACAATCAATTATTATTTTGAAGAGGAAATAGTGCCTGTTCTTGTTGGCTCTCTTAGCCCTCTTCTCTAAATTGGGCTTTCGGTAGACTGAATCGGACCCATTAGACCTAGCTTTCTGCAGCTCCTCAAACGTAACATCCGCAAGTTCTCTCTCTAATTCCTCTTCCTCCTGCTCCAAATTGCAACACAAATACAGAGCTTCATTAATTTCCATGGTATTCCAGCTGAGAAATTAACCGACTTTGAGGAGCTCGTAAAGTACTCACCTCTTGATCTTCATCCTCTTCCTCTTCTGAAGAAGATGAAGAGAGCTCCTCGTCGTCGTCATCGCTTTCCGGGAACTGGGTTTTAATCGGAGCGGCGAGTTCCTCAGTTGGTTTCCCCATTAATAAGCTCTTGAGCCGAAGATTAAAGAAATAGAAAAGATAAAAATTGAATCTTGTTGAACGGTAGGAAGGACGCAGAAATCAGGCTCAATCACGGGACGCGCATCAGAGGTTGAAGCCTTTGGGAAGAGAAGACGGTCGCCGGAAACCTAGTATAAGCCAATGAAGAAAGACGATGAACGACTGGTAAGTGGTAACTGGCAAGGCCGTCAGGGTAACGTGAGCTAGGCGGCCCGTGAACTGGGCAGGCTGAGGTCCAATTCTGCTTTAACAGATGGATTGGGTTAGTATCGCTCTGACCCAAGAGCTTGTGGCCCATATTTCGCAAAAGTTTCAGCTGGCTAGAGACTTGCTATAGATAATGATCCAAATTTGTAACACAATCCGAAAACTCATGAGATTCGCTAGGGTGGCAGTTCGGTTATTTCGGCTATAACCGGTAACCGAACGGTCGGTTATTGGTTAATCAAAATAACCACTCCCTCTACCGAAAATCGATCGAAATAGCCTTCGATTTCTCGGTTATCGGTTAACCGAACCATTATTTAGACCTAAAATAATTTCGTCCCGCCTCGGATAACTAATTAATGACCGGACAAATCGTGCATTTTATCTAATTTGGTCCGGTTGGAGAATAAATGACGACAGATTTATATGTTGAAAGTGTTAAGTGTGTTAGAAATCAAATCTCTCAATGAAAAATAAACATCTCACAAAAACGAGAGATGTAGATGATGATGATAGAGTATGGCTGATAATCGGTTCGGTTATAACCAGAACTGTTTGGTCGGTTCTCGTTTAACTGTCAATTACTTTGTGCTTACCGCTAACCGCACCGTTTAAATTAGTCGTTAATCGTAACCGTATAATCGGTTCTCAGTTATTTTGTCGGTTAACCAGATAACCGTTAACTAATTGATTCGGCAAGGTTAAACCAAAATAACAGATCGATAACCTAACCAACAAAAGACCTCCTTTTTCAATTTTAAATTTTTTGTAATTTTTCATACATAGGCATGCGTTCTTTTTTTAAGTTGTTATCATTGAATAAAAACAGTTTTAACTTAGATATATATCAATACATAATCAACTCAATCCAATACAAGTACACAATAATACCATTCTATCATCAAACTTTATTAAAGGAGCATACAGCGATAAGAGACCCATCAACAATTACTCAACTCGTAAACCCCCACAAATTGCATGAAAGTAATGTTACTGATTGTTGTCGAGAAACTGTGCCCAAGTATGAGTTTCAATTGTGCTCCTTCTAAAACTCTTCAGTTAAATTATTCTCATTTGAGCTTAAGTCACTATTAAAACTATGATAGACAAGCGGTCTTGTAATCCTTCAAATACCTCATTGTTTTCGGCCTATATTTGCGGCTTATGAAGCTCTATTATTTTCGGCCCTAACTATGAGGATGGTCGTAATCGGTTAGTCGGTTAACCGTTTAACCGTCTATTATTAATCGTTTAACCATCGATTAGTTATTAGCTTAAATTGAACTACCGGGAACCGACCGTTTACTATTTAATCGCTTATCAGTTACACCATTAACGAGATAACCGTTTAATAGCCCTAGAATACACTATGGGGTCGTTTGGATGTGGAAATTTTAAAACGTTGAAATTTGTCTGAATTTCCATGTTGTACAAAACCAAGGAATTGACTTGTGGAAATTGAAAAAAAAATTCACGTTTGGATAGAGTTTAGTCTTGTGGGAATTGATGGTGTGGAATTTGGAAAAAGAAGTAAGAAAACGTGGTAATGTCAAATTACTAGGGGGAGATGTAGTATTCTCAATTACCATGAGTGTGGTAATTGAAGCCAATTTCCATACCATTTTTGCTCCGCCAAACATGGGTTTTTAACCCAATTACTGCATTATGTGGCATTATGGGGTCGTTTGCTTGTGGGATTTGGGTGATGGATTTGGAAACCAAATCCCAAGCATCATGGAGTTGACACAAATCTTTTGTTTGTTGAGGGACATAAATCCGTGGACGTGGGATCCACGGATTTGGACCCCTTTTTTAGATCTAAATCCGTGGACCCCACGAATTTGTAAATCCCACATTTCATTTGGGATTTGACAATAGAAGGAAAAAATGTGAGACAAATCATCACAAATCCATGATAAAAAGGCTAAATTACATGTTTGGTCACTCAAATTATATAAATATTTCAAGTTTGCCACTCAAATTACTTTTCTTTCTTATCCGCCACTAACATTACGAATCGTTTCACCATTCGTCACCGGCCGTTAATCTCCGTTACCTCCGTTAGTTTTTTGATGACATGGCAAACAGAACTGCTGACTGGACTTTTAATTTAATGACATGTCAATTTTAAAAAAATAAAAAACTATTACACCTCATTATCTCCTCAAATCCACCTCACACCATTGTTTTTTTACAAAAAAAAAAAACACCACCGCACACTTTCTCCTCCTTTCTCTTCGCACAACCAGCTCCAACAGGAACAACGATCGCCGCCTTCCTCCGTCCATGTTGCAGCTGCACCAGTCCGCCTCCACCATAACTCGGGGATGTCGTCGGTGGCTCTGAAACAAAGCAGAGCGGGGAGAAATCTATCGCATTCACCAGCTACCAACTAGCAATCGAAAGCAACGTTCCCGGTCTCTCTCCCTCCCTCCCTTATCTCTCCGTCGCACTTGCACCCCTCCAAATCCTTATCTACCGCCACAAAAACCCATCTAAATGCACCATAAACCCTACAAATTGGGGATTTTACGGATAACCCTAATTTGAAAAACCCCATCCAAAAGCAACGTTCCCCATCTTCACGCAGAACAATAGAGCATCAATGAATCCCAGGTTGGAGCCTGGAGGTTTCCCTTTGAGGATTCGGAGGTTAGGAGAGGGATTCGGAGAGGAAGAAGGGTAGATTGGCCGTTGGGAGAGTGTTTCCTCGGAAAAACCAAATGCCACCGCCGACGCCGAATTTGGGTTCCGGCGATGTTGATTCGATGTTTCGCGTTGGAAATCCTTGCGGTGCCGTTTGATCGGATGCACCGCTGATTGTTGAAATCGAGACGACCGTCAAATATCCACCGCGGTGTTGATTTGATCGGTGCAACTGACTTCTGAAAATGATGACGATCGTCAAATATCCACCGCCGTGAGATGTTGATTTGATCGATGCACCTATGAATGGTGAAATCAACGTGACCGTCAAATATCCACCGCCGTGCGATGTTGATCTGATCGATGCACCTCTGACTTCTAACCAACGCGACCGTTACTACGATTCGCACCTCTCCAAACTACGTTCGAACGAGGGTGTTTGAGTTTTTGGGGAATCTACGTTAAAACTACTCCTATGGAGATTCCTGTGGAGAGCTCCGCGACTACGACTAAGACTACAACTATGGAGCTCCTTCCTGGAAGGAGAGCTTCGCGAAGGAGTTACAGAGAAAAAAGGTAAAGTTTGACAGATGTGTTTCTATGTTGATTTTTGGTTCCCCTCTCTCTCTCCTTGCTCCCCTGCTTTTATTCGAAAAACCGCTTCGTAGTCTTCACGCTAGGTGGAACCGCTTCCTCAACTGCTCCGTTGTGAACTCCCACGTGTCTCAACCGTCTTGATCTCCTCCTCGCTCGGGTTGGTGTGAATCTCGCGCGATGTCGTTTTCTTCCCCAAACAGCTCTGTTTGCTTTTTTACTCCACGACATTGTTTTATATTAAACACTGTCGTTTTCTAATACAGCGGTACCGTTGGGCTTGCTCGCGGTACCGTTTTTAATTAAACGACACCGCTGACATAACCAAAAATACCAGTTCACTGAACCGCCGCGCGTTTGCACTCACTCGCATTGGGCTGGGCGGATTTTGGTCACTTACCCGATATGGCTTTTAATTAATTGGTACCGCTTGTCAAGGCTCTCGCGGCATCGTTTTTAAATTCGCGGTACCGTTTTTATTTTCCGCGGTGTCGTTGGGTTTATTCGCGGTGCCGTTTTTAGCCAATCGACACCGTGTCCCAGTCTCGGATGCCGTCAAGCTTTGATGTTCGCGGCACCGTTTTATCTCTTCGCGGCCTTGCTTGACTCCAAATGGTGCTGTTACTCTCCTCCTCTGACAAGGAAAAAATAAAATAAAAAACATTCCTTGTCCAACAGCAACACATGTCCTGCGCATGACTCACACATGGTCTGCAACCAATGTCGTTTCAAGTACCGCGGATCCTCTTCGCGGTCTCGCTTAAATTCTCCGCGGTATTGCTCGACTCCAAACGACATCGTTTTGGCCATGCGATATCGAATTAAATGCCGAGACTCATTATTACGGCATTGAATTTAGGCCAAAAATATTTTAGGTGTAAACAATGCCCCCCACAACTTGGTTTATAAGAATTATGAACCGAGTTGTTGACACAACTTCATCACCTAAAAATAATTCCAACGCAATTAACATAGGCCATACTCAGAGATATTGGCCACGAGCAACTTCCAGGCCATGCATGACACAATTTGGCCAGCCATATAATTTTACATGAATTCCTAATGGCCTTGCTCTGATTCCTTTTACTCACCTTGCATATAAAGAATTAAAGATCATGCCACTTTCTGGCTCGGCCAAAGAAGTAGCACCGCAACGCTGTAGCCATCACAGTGTTCTTTCAATCTAAAACACCATTGCTTTGATTTATTTCTTATTTTTCTATTTTGTTTAAAGAAGCCGTAGAAAGAAAAAACACTTAACACAAGTGCAACATACCTTAGCCCTGCAGCCCTGTTTGCTCTTTCCGCAACGTTGCGGATCATTGGCCTGATTTTTTTTATTATTTTAATTAAATTATTATTTTCTGCAAAGCCAATGCAAACACCGCAACACTGTTTTTTTTTTCTTTGCCCGCAAGGTTGAGCCATGAATGCGGCAAACATTTACACTACTGTTTACATTGGTCAGTCAGTTTCGGGTTTTGAGCAAACAGACTTGCGGACCCTTCAATGCGACAGCGTTGCTATCCCATTCAATTATCAAACCCGCCATGCTTAGAGAAAACACTACTGGCCAAGACTTTTTCTTTTCCAACAAGGAAACAAGGAGCAATCCATCTCCCGCAGTGAAGCGGACCTCAAAACGTTGGCAATTTCATTTTCAAAGCCAATAAAAGAAAAAAATTGATTTAATTAATGTTGCTAGCCATACGGTC